TCCTTTTTGATTCAACGTATTGTTGTTCATCCCGCCCTTCTGCTTTTAAAACAGCATTAAAGCGGGCTTCTGCAACCAGTCTCGTGTCGGTCCGTCCGCCCGTCCGTCCGTCATCCGTGTAGAAAGGAGATGAGCCAGAGGTCTACAAATTTCAGAGTACCTTACGGGTCACTCCTGGACACCAAAATGCCAGGTGCAAATCCTGAAACCACCCCTAAGGGGGCGAAAGGGGGTACCAAAGAAACAGGGGTTTCCGCTGGAGTTGTGGTTTCACCGAGCGCCGGACCGCGGTGCGTGCTTTAACGGAGGCTCCGCACAGTCGCGTGGTTTGCAATAGGGACAAGCGCAATGTTGAGTGTTGAGCCATTTTTCTCAGAATCAATTTTTTAACTTTCAAAAAATCACTTGCGTCGCCCCCATGCAAGAGAGTCCGTTCTACGACGGTCGCCCAGAGAATGTCCGATCTACAAGCGTCGTTTGGAGAATGTTCGATCTGCATTAGCCCGGCTGGAGAACATCCGAAGCAACATTTTGGACTGTTTTGAGATATTGATGCCATTTTACGTATCTCGCTAAGTTACATAAAATGGCACCAATATCTCAAAACAGTCCAAAATGTTGCTTCGGATGTTCTCCAGCCGGGCTAATGCAGATCGAACATTCTCCAAACGACGCTTGTAGATCGGACATTCTCTGGGCGACTGTCGTAGAACGGGCTTTCTTGCATGGGGGCGACGCTTGCGCAACAGTTTCGGAGCAAGCAATCTAGTACTTTAGTGCTACTTACTTTTAAGTGGTGGCTACAATGTAACATAGAGCTCTCCTTCAATTTCGCGCCGATTCTTTTTATAATCCCTAGAAACGAAAGAAATATTTCATTTTTTGATAACGGCAATGGGGAATCTTGTCATTATTTTTGTCAAAACATAAATAATGCAATGTTAACGATTTTTAGCTTACCCTGACGCTAATGCTTGCAACTTCTTTTTCATTCTATGAGTCCGTACTCTCTCCTTGACATTTTTTCTGTACATTCTCAAATCCCGTTCATTCATGGTGGAAACTGTTTTCACTTCTCCTTGAGAGACCGCAAGTTTTTTCCTTTCTCTCTCTGATTGAAGGTATGCAGCATATTTTTTTTTGGTTTCTTTTTCATGTCCTCACGATACTTTCGCAACCTCTCGTTTTCATCCTTTCGCTTCTGAAGTGGTGTCTTCACACGTCTTTTCTTTGGTGCTGCTGCTGCTTTTGCCTTTGCCTTTGCCTTTGATCTTGTTCGAGTCATTGTTGGTGAGTACTGCAAAGAAACAAAAAACAATTAGTCATACTTATTAATTTGCAAAGGTTTGGCGAACGGAAAGCTAACTTGAAGCTGTGAGTTACA